GCATGCGCACCTGCATGCACCCTGTACACCACCGGTGGCTAGAGAGTTTCATAGGCAAGCTCTCCTGCCAGGGGCACTAGGGGTTGTTCCCCAAGGCCACCCTGCACTTAGGAAGGAACCCCTTAATTGCCAGCTTGCCCTCTCCCCTGCTGGGGAAGGGGACAGGCTGTCAAGTGGCAGCTGGCACAGGAGGCAAGGATGGGTTCCCTCTCAGAGAATGCCTGTCCTCACTCTCCCAACCCCATCTCGTCGCCTGGAGGAGTGCAGGCAGGGGTGGGGGACACTCAGCTGCCATGGCAAGACTCCAGGAGCCCGGTGGCCAGTCTCGCCATGCTCCACTCCGGGGCAGCAAGGGGAAGCTGGCAGCGATGGGCGCTGGGCTTGGGAAAAGTCTGTGTGCCAGGCTCCCAGTCCCTCTGGCTTTTAAATCGCCACCTCTGCCACTGAAGGGGAAGTCGGTACAGCTGAGAGCCAGGCTTGCAACCCTACCTTGCTACCCTTGCTGCACCTCACTCCCAGCGCTGGGCTTGTAAATTGCTGCCCTGCTACTCAGCAGGGCAGCAAGGAGGAGCCAGTGGGAGCTGGAAGACCTTTCCAGAGCCCCACTCCTGGCTGCTAGCTTTTAAATCACCAGCCCACTGGGTAGTGGGGCAGCAAGGGGAAGCCGATGGCAGCCAGCAAAGCCCCCTGCCTCTTCTCAAAACTGGGACTGCCCAGTTTGAGGCAGAGGTAGGTAGGGAATGGTAACTGCTCTTCCCCTCCCCTCCTGGTTTATGGAAGTGGGAAAGCAGCTGCTCAGGCTCAGGAAGGCAGAGAGCCTTTCCCCAGACTCCAGGAGGAGTTAAGCTGTGCCTATGTTCAGTCTCTTGGGAGAAGCTCTCCTGGGTTAATTTAACTGGTTGTTCCAAGGTTATTTTTCTCCCAGAAAATGCCTTGGTTTCTACCAGGAGAACAGTGATTCTCTGCAACCAAAAGGACTACTTACCAGCAGGCACCATACGTATGCAAGACGTTCGTCTTTGTGGCTCACTCAAGCATGTCAGCTAAAGGCTTCTAGCCATGCATGCACATAGGGACAAGGATCCATCTCAACAGTGCTCAAAGAATCAGGGCGTTGATTAAACCTGCTTGCTTCATCAACTCCCTTTCTGCATTTCCCCTGGGAAATTAGAGATCTTACACATGGAGGGAAGAGCCCTACTGAGACATCTAGTCAGCCCTTGCCAAAGCAGGATTGCTCACATAGACATGCTCAATAGGGCTCCCACAACTTTCCTCAGGAGGGTGTTTTACAATCTCACTAGCTTCAGGAACAAGGATTTTCCTTGTAACTTATTTCTTCATTCCATTACCCACCTACTAGCCCCTTCCAGAAGTTGCTCTAAAAGAGGATACTGCTTTTGGAGCAGGAGGTGAATAGACTAGTGGCCCCCAACATATGCTCCTCTTAATCCTTCCATGAAAATGAAGGAGCAGGTACCTTTTTTATAACTTTTCCTGTATGAAGATTAGCCTGCTGCTGAGAGGCAGCTTGGTTGGTACTTCACTCAGTCCAGAAGGCAATTTCCCGAGACATGGCTAAGGGGCACCATGCCAGCCGTGGCTGTGTCACTTCTGCCACCTTGCTGGTGCTATTCTCAATCTTTCTCTTGCAGCACTAGGATCCAAATCCTTGAAGAGTGGTATAGAGTCTCAGTGCTTAACTGGTAGACACTGCTGCCTTGGGGAAATCTACAGCCCTAGGTTAGGCCCCCAGTCTCCCTATACACAAGGCAAGAGAAGAGTTAGACCCCAAAGAATGGGGCTCCGACGGCATCACATTGAAGAGAAAGCTGTGCGCGTAATGGCAGGTACAGCAGCGAAGCTGAAGTCTTTTAGGAAGTTGTCCCCCATCTCTGGGTGGGGGAGGCTCCTCGCTCTTTTTGGGAGTCACAGGCACAAACCTCATCCTCTGCCTGACCTGGAGCAGGGATTTGCACCCAAATGTCCTATGCAAGCATCCTAACCACCAGGCAGCTACAGGATGTTCTAGAGTGGATGTCTCACTTTCTCTGTAGTGGCTCTGCCGCTTCTGTACAAACCAGACAGCTTTCACCAGTGACAGGAGGTGGACCTGCCATAGTCTGTTGCCTAGCGAGTAAGGTGCTCGGAAAGAAAGGATACCCAACTTCAAATCCCTGTTCCAAATCAGAAGACATTTGAATCCAAGGTCTCACCTGTGGTTGGCGGCAAGCAGGGGTGCACTATAGTCCACTGCAAGTGGCTTCTCCCCGGCCCCCAAGAGGTGTATTCCCAAACCATTTACCCAGGTGTCCCTTAGAGGCACAGAAGGCAGGGGAATCCTACCCAGACTTATTGACGGAAGCCCAAATGCGTAAGGAACTTGGCAATAGCTGAATGGGCTCTAGATTTGCCACCTGAAGTGCTATGTGGGGCTAATCCATAAAGAACTACGGCAGCTAAGCATGTTTGTCATACCTGGTATCTACTTTTCCTTTACTTTATGCCTCTTGTCTAATACTATTCCAGGCTAATTCTGCACAAAGTATTTTACACTGCAGGACTCTTGGCCAAATGCCCTGCATTTTCTTGTTAGCATTAGCCGGCTGTGCAAGGTACACTTCACCCTTTCTTACAAGTAGCTGGAGAGGGCTGACATTTGAACAGTCCATTTAAAAGTTATTGTTTTTGATGGGGGAGAGGGAAAGTTTTGCAAAATCCCCAGCCCCCCCCCCCCTTTTTTTTTTTTTAAATTTTAA